TCAAACACCAAATTCTGGCATGACCAAATTATCTGATTTATGCTATTAATATTAATTTTATAGCTCTATACTCTTACTGGTATTTTAGGAGAACAACCTGAGACAAAGTTGATGGTTAAATAAAATAAATCAGAAGTCTCTTGAGCAAAGTCAAAAGAGCAACCACTGACTATTTTTCCTCTGTCAGCAAGTCGAAAGCTGAATGAAATAAAATATTCAGCAGGCTGAAATTAAATATAAATATTGAATGAAACTTGGCAATTAACTGAAATAAATAAGTTGAAGCAAAATTACAAAAACTAAAACTTAAATGGAAATTAATTAAAGCTATATTATAACAAAAATAAATAGAATACAATAAATAAAAATAAATAAAAAAATAATAATAATAAAAGTTACAAAATCACAAAAATTACTAAAACTTAAGCTAAAATGAAAATGAAAACTGAACAAACAAAAATAAAAGCTAATTTAAAATATTATAAATACTATAATTGTATATAAATAATACTAAAATCTCTGGTTTGGGTCAAAACAACAACAGCTCCCACTGACTTTCACTATATTATGAACAATAATAAAAAGACACATTTTTCAAAATATTTTTCAAAAAGTCAGTCATGCAGGTTTGGAAACCCATGAAGGTGGGTAAATAAAGACAGACACCATTATTTTAGGTTGAACTATTCTTTTGAAGTTGCTAATTACTTCCTTTAGGTGAAAGCAATGAAGCCTAATTTGAGGCATAGTAATAAAATGTCTTTCTTTTTTGCCACTAGTTTGAAATTGCATACACAGGCACTTTTCTGTACACATCTTCATAATGTTACGATGAAACACTGTGAATCAGAGCCAAATAACATGTAAAAACTGACCTGTGGAAGAATTCAGACCAAGCTACTTGCATGCTTCTCATCTCTCGCAATTCATCCACAATGCCCTGTGCACTTTAAGATTTAGTAGTAAAACTAAAGCAAAAAAAAAACAACAACAACGTTTTCAATTTTAGGTCTTCTCCTAAACTGTTTTCTAGCTGGTAAAATTTTTTTTTTGCTAGTGTTCACAATAGCACTCGCATTACCCCTGTAAAGCCTGATATGTGTTATAATAATTTGAAAAAATGCACATATATATATATATATATATTTTTTTTTTAAACAGTTAAACAAAATATAAAAATATATATATAAAAAGTTTGCATGCGTGACCCTGGACCACAAAACCAGAAAATAAAAAATAGAGATTCTGAAATAGAGATGTATACATCATTATACAAGCTGAATAAATAAGCTTTCCATTGATGTATGGTTTGTTAGGATAGGACAATATTTGGCCGAGATACAACTATTTGAAAATCTGGAATCTGAGGGTGCAAAAAAATATTGAGAAAATCGCCTTTAAAGTTGTCCAAATTAAGTTCTTAGCAATGCATATTACTAATCAAAAATTAAGTTTTGATATATTTACAGTAGGAAATTTACAAAATATTTTCATGGAACATTATCTTTACTTTATATCCGAATGATTTTTGGCATAAAAGAAAAATCGATTTTGACCCATACAATGTATTTTTGGCTATTGCTACAAATATACCCCAGCGACTTAAAGGGGTCGTCCAGGGTCACAAATGTGAAACAGCTGGAGAAAAGTCAAAATAAGTGAAAACTGAAAGAAACAAACAAAACACACACACACAATAACTATAGGACAGAGTAATAATAATCACAAAAGACTCACCGACAGCTGGACCCGGAAGTGATGTTAACTCCGCATGAAGGCCAGACGGACCTGGGACAGGTTCTGGCTTGGGATCAGGTGTCAGCTCAAGATTGGACTGACGTGAGACATTCACCGGCTGAGAATCAACCAGATCGGTATGAGGTGTCAGCTCAAGATTGGATGCACCTAGCTGGGGATCAGCCAGATCTTGCGAAGCCATTGGCTCAAGGCTTGATGGAGCTGGTCCAGGTAATGGATCAGGACTGGTTGGATCACTGTCAGGTGTCAGCTGGAGACTGGATGGACCCGAGACAGAGGAAGGCTCAGGATCAGCTGGATCGGTGGTACGTGTCATCTCGACACTTGGGACAGCTGTTAACTCAGACTTGAGACCAGATGGGCCAGGGTCAGTCGTTAACTCTAAACCGAGCCCGGATGGACCTGGCTGAGGATCAGCTGGATCTTGCTGAGCCACTGCCTTTAAGACTGCTTTTGTGCTCCAGTGTCACATATGTGTTTTTTATTGAGTACAATATTTTATACATAAAGCTTTTATGGCTCAAATAGTTTGATATAGTGAAAAAATGGAGGGAAAAAACAGAAAAAACACCTCAGTTTTATTCAGAGGGCCCAACTGAGCAAAAAATATGAAATATGGTGCAGTTGCTGATATTTATATGTCCTGATGAAACTCTGATAGCTTGTAATGTAAACCAATGAGATCTTTGCAACAGTATAGCAGATACTTACATAAAATGCATATAAATATCAGTTGTCACTCTATATCTCCCAATAATATCTCTTAGTAAGATGATATTTAAATACTTAGTTTAGATCCTGTTAATAATTTGAAGGCCTTAGAAATTGGTCTCAAATATGATACAGTAGGCTTCATAGGGTTAAGTATGCAAATCCTCTGCCAATTGTAGCCAAATAACGTAAAGTGAAAAGAAACCTGCAGGGAATCGAACTCTGGTTCAGACCAAACAACCAAACCGAGTGTGAAAACAGCCACCGAATGCAGAAACACACCAAAATCCCAGACGTACCGTTCAAGACAGACACATGGGCGGCTCGAAACAGGCAAGAGTCACATGCAGTGCACTTCCCATACTGACCTTCAGGTCCCTGTGCACTATGTCATGATGGTGAATGTGACTGACACTCTCTAGAATCTGATGGATACAATGACTGCAAAGACAAGCGAGAGAGGAGAGGACAGAAGGGAAAGAAACAGAAAAAGGAAGGATGAGAGAGGCGTGACGGAGGAGGTGAGTTAGTCACGGAGAGATGGGACCGGGAAAGGAACAACCCAGATAAGAGAGACTGTTTGATAAGAGGGTGATGAAATGAGACGAGTGATAACGGTGAAAGCCCTGATCTTACACCACGCAGAACAATAGCAGCGCAGCCGGGCGGGACGCATCATTTCCTGTGAGGGCACTGTCGATCACACGTGGGATGGAGAAATGGAGGGAAGGGTGGATGAAAATGATCCGTGTATGTGTGTTTGTCTGGGTGTTTGAGAGAGAGTACGGCTGCTTTCTGAGATGCAATCGGTATTTTTAACACACATATCTAATACAGAATCAACAATAAAGATGGCCCGCTGAGTCTGAGCCGGAAACAGTGTGAGAGCGTTTAGGGCCAGCTGGGACAAAAGTCACTTGTACAGTACATTCAGGCCAGTGCTACTGAAAATCTTACTCATGTAAACGTTTGGTTTTGTCATGTAATCGCCACTTATGTTGCCAATTCAGGTTTTAGAGAGGTTTACAAATGGCAAAAATGACAAAAAAAATGTTTCAGAAGAATTAGTAAGAAAGTATTGATAATTACAAACCTATCAGTCATGTGCTCATGAATTAATTGGTTACATTACAGCTGAATATTTCCAGCTTGTTGCAAGTTTTTATTTTGCAAAAAACGGGAAAAAAAAAGAAAAAAAAATTGGATACACATTCAAATAATGATAATTTTGTAAATATGTTTTATATAAAATGTATTCATTATTTGACATCAATATGTGTTTTATCTTTAATATAAAAAAATAAAATACAATATATAAGTTTGGGGTCAGTAATTTTTTGTTTAAAAAAAGTTAATATTAATTAATCAGCCAGGATGAATTAAATTGAATATTTTGATTTCAAATAAATGCTATATGTGTGTATATATATATAGCATGGCATATATCAGCATTGCATCACAGAAATAAATTACATTTTAAAATATATTAAAATAGAAAACCTTTAATTTGTAAAAATATTTCACAATTTTTCTATTTTTACATGAGACTTCAATCATTCTTACTCACTCCAAACTTTTTAACAGTAGTGTATATATATATATCTAAATTCATTTCAAATTTAAATTTAGCTATAATTAAACTTTTTTATTTTATTTCATTGTTGAGCCCTGAATCATGTTCCCTAAAGCAACTGATCAGACTTGTAAACAATTAAATGGCAGAGACTTTTTTTTTTTACTTCGGCAATCACCTAGCAACAGCATAGTAATGTGAAGAAAACAGTAATTTTCTTCAGAAAGTGTGAACATCTAGTTTCTACTGCTATGGAAACAGATCGAGCTCAAATAAAGCGAGTGTGCGGGTTTGTGAATGTGAGCTGACACCGTAATTATGTGCGTTAATTAGAGGCCTACTTTCAGCCATCGCTCTAGTGGAGGCAGGTGGAGGGTCTGTGGCCCTCGGGAACGGATACATTTCACCGTCCTGACGGCATCTTGACACGTTTCTACCCACGAATATGGCTGATGAGCTCATGGATTCCAGTAGTGTCAGCGCTCGCCAGTTCTTGTGTTTCCTCCCTCGTTCTGTTCCTCGCCGTATCTCTCACTCCCACATGCATACCCACACAGTCAAATTGATTAAAGCTTTTCTCCTGAGGGCGACAGCAGTGTGTGTATGTGTGTCTGTGAGAGGATCTGATGCAGAGAGGAAAACAGGAATAGATGGAATGGAAAAAAAGAAGCCGATGGGAAAAGCGGAGGAAAGGGACCTGCAGAGGTAGAGAGCTGCCGCCCACGCTTGCCGCCTCAAACGTTTAACAAGCCTCTGAAACAAAACTCATCACTCGTATGATGTGGACAACACTATTACTCACATGTTATACTAGAATATGTGCAAAACACACTCGTTTATCTGGTTAAAATGCGTGTGAAAGAGAAGAAGAAAGAAGTGTGGATGGGGAGGATGGAGGGGAAATGGCATGGGGAGGAAATGGACAGGACAACAGGAGGAAATGGAGACGCTGTTTTACCTGGCGTCAGCTTCACTGTAATATTCTCTGGCTACAATGTCTTCAAACAGCTCTCCACCCGTAACACTGCAGGACAGAGAGAAGATACAGGGACCACGGTCACCATATTCAACTGTGATTATTCAACTTCAGTTTGGTGCTTTACACTGGCACACTGTGCATTCATAATTGCAAAAGCATTTGCAGCATGGCATGGAAGAAAAGAAAAAGTCAAATAAGAATGCAAACAACACAAAAATAAATGAATTAAAATAAGGAAATATTAAATGAAATAGTAACAAAAATGTATAAATGTACTACTGATAATATTATTAAAATAAACTAATACTAAATAAATACATTAATTAATTATAATAAAATAATTAACATTTGTTAACATTTTGAAATTAAATATTTTTGGACTCAAACAAATATTATTAAATAAAATAAAAAACATTAATAAAATAAATGAAAAATCTGTTAAATTAAATGTTTTAAATTACATAAACTAATAACAAAAATAGGAATAAAACTAACAATAAAAAGCTAATGAATAAATGGTAATAAATATACTGCAATTTTAATATAAATTCAAATATTACATATAAAAAATATTAAATAAAATATTAATCAATGTAAAACTAATAAATATAATAATATAATAATAAAAAATATAATTAAATGAATAATCAAATAAATCTTAACATTTTACATTTTAATACAAATAATAAAATAAAAAAAGAAAAGAAAAGAAAAATACAAATCAAGGAAGTAGCAATTTAACCAAAAGGAATAAATTAAAGGTGATTTGTGTTAATCAGTACTTTTTTTCTACAATTACTAGCATAAGAAAAATACTTTATCCTGTGCTAGGTTAGGTCTCGTTTGGTTGACTCCCCTGAAGTGAAAACAGCATGAGAACAGATTGACACAGCAACACTGGCTCAACCAATGGCGCAGTCCTTAATAATACTGCAGAGATCACATACTTCACTTCGCAAGCAAATTAAAGTGCAAATGTATCAAAAGTATCAAATAATGTATCAAGAAAAGAATAAATAAATAAAGCAGCATTTATTAAACAAGCACAATTAAGGAAGATAAACTAAAGACAGCGTGGCTGTGCATGACAGGAAAAATAAGCGAGAGAGAGAGAGCGAGCGAGAGCAGTATGGATGGGGGAATCCTCTAGAAGAGAGAACACTGGGGCTTCGGGGGGAAACCCCTGCTGCAGGATTTCTCTTTGGCTGGGCAGCCCGCCTCTGTTGCTATGGAAACTGGCTCTCGAGCGAGCGGGAGAGAGAGAGAGAGCGAAAGATGCGAGGGGAAGGTAGAGTGAGTGGGCGTCTGTTGAAGCGCACCAAGCAAAAACAAAGCAGAGAGAGAGATATTATGCGCCATATTATATGGAAGCACTTACAGGTCAAATAAGAGGTAATGGAAGCCTTCCTCTGATATACTGTCATGGAGCCGCACTGCATTAAAGAGAAAGAGAGTCATAATATCATGACATACTTTCATTTGCCATTCACTCAAACAGCAGCACAATTCGAAGAGCGGTTTCATGGGCTGAAATCAACAGGCATGCTTTCTATATTAATGCTCCTCGAGATGCTTTCAGCTCATTCAAACCACCTGCATCCTGAATGATGGATTTCACACTGATTTCATCATGAATGGAGAAGTTCGGGTTTATTTGTGAAGCTGACTTTAATGGACTCACCGATATTGGGATGCTTGAGCAGACGGCAGATACGGGCTTCCCGTTCCAGCTTCTGGTGATCTGGGAAAAGATTTGGGTCCGTGTTAAGCATCATGTAATGGAGAAATTGCAGATGGAGTAATTAAATGTTAAAAAGCTTTTTTTAACCAATTAATAGGTCAAGGTCAAGTTTATTTATATAGCTCCTTAAAAGCAACGAGTGCTGACCAAGGTGCTGCACAGCCAAAACATCAGAAATATAAACTAACAAAAGCATTAAGACAATATAAAATTTGAAATCATTAAATAATACAATAAGTAATGCAAAACATACATAAACAAAAGAAATAAACAGAAACAAAACAAAAAAAGTATTTTCAAGTTAAGCAAAAGCCTGAGAAAAAAATGAAAAGATGGATAAAGGCAAAGAGTTCCAGAGTGTAGGACCAAGAACTGAAAAAGCTCTGTTCCCTTTAGATTTTAAACGAAATTTTGGGACAATCAATAACTTCTGAGAAGATGATCTAAAGCACAGGAGAATAGAAATGGAGAAGATCTGAAATGTAAATTGGGGCAAGACCATGAAGTGCTTTAAATACAAAAACTAAAACCTTAAAATCAACTCTGAATTTAACAGGTAACCAGTGAAGTGAAGCTAACACAGGGGTAATATGCTCCCTCTTTTTTGTCCCTGTCAAAAAGCGAGCAGCAGCATTCTGTACCAATTGTAAACGTGATAGTGAAGACTGGTTAATTCCAGCATAAAGAGCGTTACAGTAATCCAGCCTGGTTGAAATGAATGCATGAATAACAACCTCTAAATCATTAAAACTGAGAAAACTTTTCAGCTTGCAAAGCCCCTTCCTTAAGCTGCAAAAAACTGGCTCTGACCACAGAGTTAATTTGCTTGTCAAATTTCAATTCAGGATCAAAAATAACTCCCAGATTTTTTACCTTTTCACGAATGTTTTCTTCAAAAGGGCCCAGAATAGGTCTTAAATTAAGTAAAAGGTGAGAAGGGCCAAACAATATAACTTCAGTCTTTTTTTGATTCAACTGTAGGAAATTATTTTCCATCCAATTCTTGATGTCCTCTAAACAAGCCAGCAAGGAGGACACTGAATCAGAACCTGATTTTAGAGGAAAATAAAGCTGAGTGTCATCTGCGTAAATGTGGTATGAAACTTTATGAGACTCAAATATAAAACGAAGAAGGCGCAAATACAGGGAGAATAAAATTGGACCCAAAATAGAGCCCTGGGGTACCCCACAAGTGATGGAAACTGAGCTTCATGAAAATTCACCAATTTCCACCAAAAAAGTCCTATTTGTGAGATAAGATGCAAACCAGTCTAATGCACTACCACAAATGCCAACCTCAAGATTTAATAGTTTGCACAAATCTTTTGTGGGATTTCATGAACTTTGAGGAAGTTTAGTTTCTATGAAACCATGTTAGCCCTTTCAGTTTCACATGAACTTTAGTTAACCACAAGTTAAGAAACCAACATATGCCAGATTAACAAGTATTTCAGAGATATTACCGTTAACTAAAACCAAAACCATACAAAATCTAATAAACAATAAAATATTAAAAAACTACTTCAGCTATTTGCAAAGGCAACATTTCTTATTTTCATTTAGTCTAACTTGAAGTACTAAAATTACTCAAACTAAATACTATAACTAAAACCAAAACTAATTAATAAAAACTATACAGACCATTAAAAACTTTAAAAAAAGAAAAAACAACAAAATTACTAAAAACTTTTAAATTAAAATCAAACAGACAATATAAAAATAAAATCTAATCTGATATATTACCAAAAACTACAACAGTATATCAATAACACTAAAATAACACTGCAGTAGATTCAGACTGTTAGAAAATCACGCTGATGCAAGTATACCACACTGAAATGTCTGACAGAAAAACATGAAATAGTAAGTTGGCACTGTTTTATGCACAGGGGTTTGGTCCGATCGTGACAATAGATTTTCATCATTATTTTATCCCACCCACACATCCTTCTTCCATCAGCAGAAAAGTCGTTTCAGAGGTGGAGAAAGACATTTCAGTATGAAGAAAGATTATGAAAACGAATGAATTGTGCACAATATTTATAAAGACAGTAAACGGGGTCAAGTTAGCATTCACACTGTAAAAAGTGACATTAAAAGTGTTGTATTTGAAAGAAGTCTCACCAAAGCTACATTTATTTGTTCAAAAACTACAGTAATTAATAGTAAAATTATGAAATATTATTAAAATTTATAATAACCGTTTTCTATTTGAATATGTTAAAATGTAATTTATTCCTGTGATGCAAAGCTGAATTTTCAGCATCATTACTCCAGTCTTCAGTGTCACATGATCCTTCAGAAATCATTTGAATATGCTGATTTGAGCTCAAGAAACATTTCTTATTATTATCAATGTGGAAAACAGTTGTGCTGCTTCACATTTTTTGTGGAAACTGTGATACATTTTTTCCAGGATCCTTTGATGAATAGAAAATAATTTATTACTTTCAAAGAATTTATTTGCAATCGATTTTTATAACATTATAAATGCCTTTAATGTCACTTTTGAACAATTTAATACATCCTTGCTGAACTGAAGTATTTATTTCTTTAAAAAAAAATTATAATACATAAATCTTGCTTTTATGCCTTTTGTTCATAGATGGATTGTTCAAAAATGACACCACTATCTTGAAAACAGCTTGCATTTAAGTTGTCATCACAGGATGGGATGTATAACGTTTGTGTTTAAAAATAGAAAAACCTTCATAATTAATTTCACATCTTTTGAACAAAATACACAAGCTTGTGCTATTTGTTTTTCCATCCAGTCAAACAGTTGCTGCTCAACTCACACTGATCTCAGATCAGATCTAGTTAAAAGTGCACATTTAAAGCGGTTTGCACATCACTTCAAACACAGCGACAAAGGTCAGACTCAGCATCACGCAGACCACACAATCTACTGTAAACCACGCGGCCAACCGGCGGCTGGAGATCACGCAACCTCTACTAGTTTGAGTGTGGAGCGAATCTGCGTGATACGGAGAGACAGACGTGTGCAGCCGAGAGGCCTGGACCGCTCCAGCAGACCCCACGGAGGAAGCCTGCTGTCTGCCATGCATGAGTCATACGGGAAAGAGGCCACAGATCGTCTTCAGCGCTTCAGGATTCATATTCCTGATAAAAACACCCACGGCTGGCTGTCCATCATCCCAGCATCATTAAGTGTTCCCAAATGGACTAGTATGGATCGCAGCTATCGTCTGATTGGTGATGTTTAACAGTCACATTTTCTTTTGATCTACTATAAAAACACATTACTTAAATCATTTTTTAACTGAAGATGCATTTATATGATCAAAAATACAGTAAAAATAGTTATATTGTGCAGGGTTATTATCATTACCTAAATTAACCTAAAAAATAATTTAAGAAAAAATAACTTTTTTGTTACATGAAATAAAATAAAATATAAAAAAGTAAAAAATAAATAAATAAATTCAACTAGTTGTGAAAGATTAACTTAATTTTCTTTTAAGTTAGTTTGAAGTACTAAAATATCTAATACTAAAATTTAAAAAAATTACAATAAATAAAAAGACATTTGAAAAAAATAATAACAATTACCAAAACACAACTAAATTACTAAACCTATAACTAAAATGAAAATAAATCAAAATATTAATCAAACTATAATTGTATATGAATTGTACTAAAATAACACTGCTATTGTGAAATATTATTTCAGTTTAAAAGAACAATTTTCTATTTATATTTCAAAACGTAATTTATTCCTGTGATCAAAACTGAAGCTTTTTCTCAGCATCATTACTCCAGTCTTCAGTGTCACATGATCCTTCAGAAATCATTCTAATTAGTGGTCGACCGATACGGGTTTTTTGACAGCCGATACCGATGCCGATATCTTGGAAAGCAGGGTGGCCGATGGCCGATATAAAGCAGATATAATTTTATTTATTTTAATTCATATTTAAGAAATATTTAAATAATTTGAAAATGGAGTGAAAAATAAACGTGTAAAATAAACATACTTATACTCTATTTTTCACAAATAAATAAATATTTAATAAAAATATAATTAAAAAGGAAGTAAACACTGTAACCAACAGGGCACTCAGTAATCTGGGAAGTTTGTGTGCATTGGGAATCATATTTTTTTCAAATAATGCCAAGGTAACACTCATTTTACATACAGCACACAGTGAAAATGACATGAATATGACAGTGGGCAAATGCATAAAGCGCAGCATAATTTAAAATCACGAGTTTAAAGTTTAAAGCATTCAATTCACACGGACCGACCGT